TTTTACTTAATCATCGCTTTCACAACGTTTGATTTTTAATGTGTGTTTCTTTAAATCAGTACGGAGTGATTTATCATGATTTTTTCGTTTTGAAATGTTCAATTAACTGTCTAACTGTCAACTTTAATATATTTATAAATTTTAAGATAGGTATTTAGATATAAATATTTGAAATGTTATAGTTTATTTATTTTAATTTTATATATGATGATAAAAATTATTCTCGGTCRAAAAAAGCTTAGAATTGAAGCTACCACTTCGGGAATCAAAAATATAATGACATGATTTTTTTATTAACACTTGAAACAGTTGAAACTTAAATTTTGAGTTTTAGAAGTTTTTAAAGGTATAGTATATTCAAACATTTCAAATATACTAAATTAATGATGTTGTTATTTATTATTTTTATTTAAAAAACATTAATGGTAGGGTACCTAAAATATTTATGGCAAAGTAGTAAGATACACTCAACACCTAAACTACATTACTACCTATAAAACGTCAGAGTGACTTCTATTGATTTTTGCTTTAAATTTGTATTAGACGTTATACATTACAGCGCGAGGTGTCTAATAATTTCAGTTATGAAGAGAACCGACGGTTAAATTCTAAATTTAAAAATGACATGTACAAGCATGGTTTTACCTTTAAAATAAAAATATGTAATGTTAATGCATAAACTATTTACGTAATAAGAAAAACAGCGAATACGTTTGCCGTTGGTTATCATAAATATTAAATTAAAGTAATATAAGTGTATTGCGATTTGCGAAAGTTGAATAAGTCGAACGAAACAGGATTATCAAAAATTATCTATTATAATGTATCGATTTAGTGATATTTGAAATGTTTGAATGTTTGATAGTGTGCGCTGTTGTGAACATATACCTAAACGTGATGTATTTGAAAAAAATCTGCATTTTAATAAAGGTCCATCATTTTGACGACTCGTTAAAACTTTTAAATATATTTTTAGTATCTTGAATTCAGTTTAAAAGGTATYCTGTTTTGTTTTTACTACGTGGAATAATGTAGGTACACTATATCTAGGATCCAGTTATCTAGATTTTAGGGGGRAAGGGGAATGTATGTAATGATGATTTAATGACATTTAATGTTTTAGATTATAAGTCTCCGAAGAATTATCAACCGACTTTTTTATTTACCAATTATTATACAAGATTTAAAACAATTAATTATAATAATTTAAAAACAAAATTAATTAGCTGAGCAGCTCATCTATATAATATATACATAAGCAATAATACCTTTGTTAAAGTAAGTCAATATTATAATAATACAATTTTTCTGATGTACCCATATTTGTTGAGGGTATATAATTTAAGAATTTGATTCAGATAGTTGTAAAATGTTGCCTTCCCCTCTCACCAAAGCAGAAAAAAATCTGGTTCC